GCTGGCGCCGCGTCCCCCGCCCGTGGCCCGGCGGGGCCGGAGCTCGGCGCCCGCCCCCCGCCGCCCGTCTCAGCTCGTTTGCTGCAGCTGCAGACGGGGCCGGCGCCGGGCCCCGCTCCGCCACCASCGCCGGTTTCCTGCAACGCTCGGGCGGGCGGGGGGAGCGGCCCGACCGGCGCCTCCTCCCCCGGGCCACCCCCGGGCCGGCATCTGCCCATCCATCCATCCATCGGTCCGTGCGTCCATCCATCTGTCTGTCCGTCCATCCATTCATGGGTCCGTCTGTCCGTCCGTTCCTCCATCCATTCATTTCTCTGTCCCTCCGCCCATCCATCCATCCATTTGTCCACCCATCCATCCATCGGTCCGTCCGTCCGTCCATCCGTGCGTCCATTCATCCATCTGTCCAGCTGTCCGTCCATCTGTCTGTCCGTCCATGCATCCATGGGTCTGTCCGTTCGTCCGTCCATCCATCCCTCCATCCATTCATTGGTCCGTCTGCCCATCCATCCCTGTGTCCATCCATCCATCCATCCATCCATGAGTCCATCCGTCTGTCCATCCCTGTGTCCATCCACCCATCCATCCGTCCTTCTGTCCTCCATCCGTCCATCCATCCATCCGTCCTTCTGTCCTCCATCCGTCCATCCATCCATCCCTGTCCATCCATCCATCCATCCATCCATCCATCCATCCATCCATCCATCCATCCATCCATCCATCCATCCATCCTCCCTCCAGGATGCTCAGCGCCTCCATCCCCTGTGTGCCGGGATTCAGGAAGGGCTGAGCCGTATTTCGCAGCACAGGGACACAGTCACAGCCCCAGGAATCGGCTCTGCCCCTGGGCTTTGTGCCCTCACCGAGGTTTTTGCCATCTGGAGGGGAGGAATGGCCCAGTTCCCATCCCCTCATTTTCACAGGGCACGGGATGCCTTCACAGAGTGACCCAGGCTCTTCCCCCAAACTTTTTCTTGTCGGTTTGGGGCAGATGCTGTTGATGTTGTTTGGAGGCCTGGATGGATTCTGGTCTGTTCTGGTCAAACCCATGGATGGATTTCGGTCTGTTCTGGTCAAACCCATTCCCTCCCTCTGCCCCATGGATCTCTGTGCTCCCAATGCCACCTGTGCATTCCTTCCATCTCTGCTTTTTCAGCTCTCCAGGGTGGGCTTTCACAGCCAGGAGAGGGGAGAACAGCTCTAAGATCTTAATTGATGAACAAAAATACCTCCGATTTGGGAAGTGCAGTGTCACATATCCAGGATCCTTATGAGACATTTGATTGTTTCCCTTATCAGACAGAGTCACCCTCGCTGTGTTTTTTATTCTCATAGTGCTGCTTCTCAAAGCAGTCAGGACTGGAGATTGGCTGCTCCTCATCCCCTTTTCCCATCGTTTCTTGGACAGAGTGTTTGTTTGAAAGGTGGCCTGGCTGAGTTCAGGGTTTGGGGCACAGGTGAAGGAGGAAGGACMCATTTCCCCAAAGCTGTTGTGATATGGCCACATTCAAACCAAACAAAWCAAAACAAAACAAAAAGTGCAATAAATGACATTTGGATTTCACTCCATCTCTTCCATCCCATGCTGAGCCACAGGGTGGTTGTGCACGACTGGGGCACTGACAATGGGAATTCATTTGCTCACTGGGGCTGTGTTTTKTGCTCTTGSTTTGATTTATGTGGGACTCTTTTTTATTTGCTGCTTTTTGCTTTTCGTCATCACGGCTGTTGTTTTCCTTCGCTGCCCTGAGGTTCAGGCGTCCGTCCAAGACTTTTGTCAGGATGGAAAGAGGAACTATCTGCTAAATTCRAAAATGCCAGCAACCAGCAAAATCTGTTCTTTAGCCCTGAGGTTTCTGAGCATTCTCCTGGTTTCTGTTTGGGGTGGAAGGCAGATCTGTGTCACCCCAAAAGTGGCTTTATGTTGGGATCTGGTGCAGCTCCCTGCTGTTCCCCTCCTGGCTGCTCCAGAATTTATTTTTTTTTGCACTTGGGCAAAGAAAGAGATCCTTGGGCTACTCAGAGTGTGGTGGGATCCAAATTCAGAGGTTTGACCAAAAGGGGGAATCTCCCACGCTGGGGAGAATTTTCC